TGATCCATTTTTTTCCTCCCCCAAACACGACGGGTGGAGTTGATGCCAAATAGCTCCATTTTGGTTTCATCTGACCACAGCACTTTCTCCCAGACCTTCTCGGAGTCATGTGGATCTACTTATTTCACTCAGTAAAAAAAATGTACATCATTTTTCAACTTTTGCACCATGCGTGTGTGTGTGTGTGTGTGTGTGCGTGTGTGTGTGTGTGTGTGTGTGTGTGTGTGTGTGTGTGTGTGGTGTGTGTGTGTTAAACACATTTTGCACTGCTATTACTATGACTGACAAGCAACCATAAAAATTGTAGACTGCTAACTTCTTTATGAGGCAGCAAGCAAGCTTACACTGCATATAGACATGCTAGCCACATGTCTATGCAGTAAACAAACACAGCGCAGCTCAGGCTCTGGCTAGCGGGTGTCTGTGGCGTAAGAAACTTTTTCACTGGGTTTTTCGAAATTGCGCTTGTGCTGAAAAGAAACAATAAAAGCTGCTATATGTTGCAAACAAAATATTTTGCTGGCCGATAGCATCATTTCCTGAAATTGAAAATGTCACATTTTTCACAAAGGAAATGCACTTTCATGTATTAGGATTTGTAAAAATATTTGAAATAAATTAGGTTGGATTAGTTTTTTTTTAAGTGCATAACTTCCTACAAATACGATGTGCCAATACAACAAGCAAACTCCTGCCGAGTTTTGTACCATGTAAAAGCTTTGATATGTTAGATGACATAAATGATCAGATTTATGTCATGTGACATATCCTTGCATGAGTGAAGTATTTTTCTTCAAACATATAACAAGTATAAAGTCCAAGTTTTTTTTTTTTTTTTGCTAATACGGGTATCTTTCGAAAAGTAATATTTCAACCACAGCTGCACATTCTCCCTAATGTGAACCAAACCACAACCTTCAAATCAAATGATGTACCCAACAGTATTTTTTTTTTTTGTGCACGGTGAAGCTGGGTGGACCCTTAACAGTGACCCCGCCCCACCCCCCGCCAAGCCCCCCCTACAACATCCCCATCCCACCGACCTTGTTTTTGTGTATTAGAATTGATGTCCTTTTAAAGTGAGCCCAAACACTGGCTGGCTCCCGGTGCGTAATCATAATTTTTAAAAAAGTAAAGAGCTATTGTTCCGATTCATCACGTGTGAAGGACGAAACTGGTGGCGAGGAGAAGGAAGCCAATGTTTCACTGCCTTAACGCAGATCAATAGACGACCTCCATTTTGCTCTCTGCTACAGAGAAGAAAAAAAAAGTAATTATACAGAAGAAATGTTGACAATCAATAGAGCAGTCAGCTAAGGTTAAGGTCTGCTACGGTCGCCGATGGACGGAGGATCCTTCGTCAGCTGTCACTGACGCCCCCCCCCCCACCCTCTCTGGTGAATGTGGAACCCCACCGGAGAACAAAAGCTGGTTTTGCCTCCTTTGTACGGTTTTGTGCCGTGTGCGGTAATTAGCCGATTAGCATATAAAAAACGTCATGATAGTGACTGCAATACTGTACGCCAGGGTGCCCAAGTCCATTGACTATAGCTCCCGTGCTATAGTCACAGAACAAATTTAAAACAATAAATAAAATAAGTAAAAGGATCGCTGAAGCCGCAGCTCGCTCAAGTATAAAAATGTCCAAATCGCAGAAAAGCTTGTCCTGGTGCCGAGGATTCATCCACCTTGACATCTACTTTCGCTTTGCACGAGCCTCAACTTTATAATCCAGCAGCGGCAGTTCAGAGGTCAACAGCAGAGGCGACCAGCGGGCGAGGAAATCATTCCCTCCTCCTCCCAGTCCCGAGGAAAAAAAAAACGCTTCTGACATCCAATTTTCAAGTTGATTTATCAGTGCAAAGCCAAAATTGATAGTGTGTCATTACCAGGCAGGGAGCTGTCGTGCCGAGACGTATAAAAGGGCTCCTCGTTTTGATTTAGCGCGGCGGATCAATACAAGCCTATACTGTTTCAATTTGAGGGCTATTGATTTTCCTGTGCCCACTCCATACAGGGTGGGGGACATTCATCACGGAGGAGCCGTATAGCGCCATCTAACGCGGCAGCCCCGAGAGCCAGATCTGCTTCGCCTTCACTCGGGTCACGTGAGTACAAACCGCCGCGCTTCGTTCGCATTGTTTGACTTTGCAGCGGGGCAAAAACTTGCACACGTGACGGGAAAACAAACAAAAAAAAAACAAAAAAATCAAAACAAAAAAAAAGTGCAACCAATGGTTTGTATTTTGACCAACTTTGGGTCACCTGTATCTCGAGGTTTTGACACTCATCTTGGCGCATGTCTCTCTGTCTGTGCTATACTGCCCCCAAGTGGCCAAGGTGCACACACAAGAAGGAGCAGGACAATGTCCAGTGAACGGATGCAAAAAATGCGGCAAAACTGTTCAAACATTCATTTCGTCATGACTGTTTGTTTTAATACAGTAAAATATTACAAACTTCTATTTCTCTCATTTTCAGTGGGATCTTTTGGGAGGCTGGAACAGATTAATGGCATTTCCATTCGTTTCAATAGGGGAAGATGCTTTGGGATTAAAAAGGGTTTGAGTCACAGAACAAACTATCCAAGCGACACCATATTTGTATTTTTTGTGTACTGTACACACACACGCACGCACGCACGCACGCACGCACACACACACACACACACACACACACACACACACACACACATACATATATGCACATACACGTGCATCTCCTTCAAATAAGATTGTTTATAATTCATGCCACAGCAATGATAAATATCCTGGGGCAGAACTTGAGATTTCAGTGCATTAGACTGAAAATAAACATTTACAGCAAAGCTTTCTGCCCCTCCTCCCTCCACATTCACTTCAACATGCCGGAGGGCTTTCTATTTTACAAGAGCGGCATAAATGGGAAAGTTAATGTAGCATTGAATAAGACTGAGCTGCCGTGCATGCGACGTCGCCCCGAGCGCTCGGTGGCATATTGCGTCATTTTTCTTCAACAGCAGGTTACCATTAAATTTGAATTTGCTGTTTTTTTCTTTTTTTTTTTTTTTGCAGTGCCATTTACTACACGGCCGTCTTTTGTATCAATGCTTTGCGTCAGACACAAAGCGAGAGGGCGAGAGAGGGAGAGAGAAAGAGAGAGAGATCCATAAATATTTGAACGGGAGCCCAGAATCCAGTACGAGGTTTTTTTTCTGTCCTAACCGCTCCCTCTGAAGGTTCAGGGTGTTTCGTGGAAACGTTTGCAGCCATAACAAACATAACTTGTTCAAATTCAGTTTTTCATGAGACGAAAATGAAGTGTAAAACAAGCTGAGACTGGATCATGTAATCACTCATCTAGGCTACTCGTCATCATCCCAATAAGTGATCAGACTAGAGGCTATCAACGATCCACTGAACACATAAAAAATATGATCGTCATTGTAATTAGATGACCAGTGTAATGGACAGTGTTGGCGACCAAGCACTACACAAACAACAACGCACAACTGCAAATATGCAGGGCTTCACAGTACAATGATGTAATGATTTTAATCATCTATAGAACACAACGAAAACTATTTGGTGAAAAATGCAGCGATATAATTGTGCTCTTTCTGTGATGCCGAAAGATGTTGGCCAAAGGCCCTCCTCCATCTAAAAAAAACCCCAACACTAGCTCAATGGTAGGGTAGGAAATTGATAAGAAATTTGTGATTCCGATTCCATTATCGTAAGTGCTTATTCATCCGATTCCTTATTGAGCCTCTTACCAATTGTCCTTGGGTGAGACGAATGAAATACAGTCATACAAATATGACATCATGCCGATATGTGCAGATAGCTAGCGAGTTAACCATACCGAGCTTGCCAGCTGTCTGGCTATCTAGCCAGACAGCTAGCAAGCTCTTTAGCTAGATTGATAGCTAGGAAGACAGATAGCTAGCTAACTAGTGATATAGATAGCTATCTAGCTTGATCGACAGATAGCTAGCTAGCTAGAGAGCTAGTTGAGGGTTTGTTTTTTTTTTTGGACTACTCTTGCGCACTCCGAAATGAATAATGATGAAACCAATTGGCAGAGGAAACAAACATAACATGTGTGCTCAGTTTGTCCAAGACGAGTGCTTCTTCTTGATCTTTCCCCTTCGCTGCCCGGCGGCAAAGAAGTGGAACGAGCGCTTATTTTAACAAGACCCATGGGGGGTCGAAAAAAGGAGAGAGGCAGTCCGAAACGACCGCCAGGTGCTGGTGTGCGTTGCTGAACAGGTCAATGAATGCCTGGAGAGACCCCCCCCCCACCTCCGCCAACACACACACGCACACACACACACACACACACACCCCACGCACACACACACACACACACACACACACACACACACACACACACACACGCCAAACTGTCGGATGAGTGGCCAATCAAGCGCCCCCCTGGGGGCAAAAGGCCGTTCTGTGCTGTAATTGTGTTTGCTGACCCAGGAGGATTTCGGGAAAAATGACATAAACCGGCAGCCTCATCCCATCAAAGCAGAGTTATGAGAAAGCTTCTCACTCGTCGGGTTGGTTTGTAATCTTACAACTCTTTATAAGCTTGACTCAATTGAACTTCCTCAGCCCCCAAAACTCAGCTGGGTAATTTAAGTTTTTCTTTTTTGTTTATTTTGGAAATGGGGGAAAAAAAACCCCGATGTTTGATCACATTTTTTTCCCAGACCAAGACCACTAAACATATTCACTCGAGTACTCACAAATATCACTATCACTTAAGATAAATACAATTTGAATTAACACAATGACAAATAATTGTGAATGAAGACCTTTCTGTCTTCCTGACACAAATTATGAATTACCCGATACCTTGAAATAAGGCCAGTATCGGCCCGATACTGATACCTCGTATCGGTACTTGCCCATCCCTTAAAAAAAAAAAAAAAAAAAAATGTTTTGGTGGAATATCAGTTTGGCACAGCCCCACAGACAAAAATGTTTGTCAATGCTTTGAATTCACATGCTCACCTCTGGCCCAGCGTCCCCCAGGCGCCATGTTTGTTGGTGAGGATGTTGACGATCTTCTGCCGCAGCTGACTGGCCGTCACGTGATCCCGATGCTTGGCGGCGCCGATCAGGTGGTCGCACATGGTCTCTTCCTCTCGTCTCTCGGCAGCGTACTGGCTGCAGTTCGACTGATTTCATGAGGAAAAAAAGAGGGACGCGGAAAGCTCATTCAACATCGTTTCAAATCAATATGCATGTACGCACGTTGTTTTTTTCTGTCAAATTGGGTCAGTGACTCTAAAACCGGGCTTATGGTGTTGTATCATCGAAAAGGCATCCCGGCACACGGGGACGTCTTCCCTTCTTTTGCAGGAATACATTATATAATGCTTCTAATATGTGTGTCAAACGTGTGTTTTAATATTTTTAAAGCACGTAGGAGGAGTGTTTTTAAAACCCAATTTTTAGAAAATGAGGCAGTTCCACTTAGCACACGTAAAACACAACTCTTGTGATGGACTGCCTGGTCATTTCCAAAACAGTACTTGTTTGTTTTACGGTAAACTCCCGCGATATCCATGCAGACGGTGGCAATGCCGCTTGAGGAACATTGCGAGATCCGCATACACGCGTCCTCCAATGGCGCATTTGTCACACTGACGAACGCCCCGGCTTGAGTCAACACACTTGAGCGCGCCGAGATATTAGCAGACAGTGCGGAGATATATTGGGGCTCCCTCGGAGGAGAGCCGTAAATCACCGGTCGGTTGGAGGGGTGCGGGCGGGGGCTCCCGGCTAGGCGGGTGGGGCTATTAAGACCAGAAAGGAAAATAGTTTAATAGAGCCGCGAGGACCGTCAGCTGTCAAGGACGGAGCAGAGCTACATATCATCGCGCCGAGTCTATTATTGGCCCCCTTTGAAGAGGAAATAGGCTCTTTTGTGTCAGGCAAAATAACAAGGCGGACGTACAAATCGCCGGCGTTGGGCCGAAACCTCCTATGTCACAATTTTGGTCAATTTCCCATTGCCATCGAATAACATTTGAAAAATACGAGACAAATTAAAAATAAATTTTAATACATATTTTAATTAAAAAGTTATTTTGGAAAAAAAAGGCCCAGACACTCAAAACTGAATCACATATTTTTACAGCAATACAACACAAAACATTATTATAAATGAATACAAAATGTGTGTGTGTCTATAAATGAATACAAAAATTCTCTGATTTTATTCCCGTAGGTTTTTTTAAAGAAGAAACCTGAAGTTAAGTACAAATGAAAACGTGAGAATCACAGATAGCTTCTGTTCTTAGTTGGAGCTTTTATTTTAATCTTATCGTGCTTACTTAAATATCTAACTATCAATCTTTGAATGTGAATGATTTCATGTCAAGCGCATCTTATATGATTGTGTAAACCTAACACAGAGCGACTCGATCTCTTTGCCGCTTGAAGGCGATTGTCTTACGAAGGCCTCCCGGGGGGGACGGCGGCTGATCTTCAAAATCTAATTTGCTAACAGAAGCCGGGAGCTAATTGAATTTCCCGCATCAATTTTAAAATCTGTCAGATATTATACTTGAACGTATCGCTCATCAAGAAGGTAACTCGATCCGCGCGCGGTCACGTGACGCGTCGCGGCAAATATCCTTTATATGCGTCGCGCCACGCCGCCCCTCACGCTGTCTTAATTGTAAACGCGTCTTATGGGTGTCCCGAGTCTTCACTCTTTGAAGAGGTACGGCGGGGATAATAAAGTGTTAGCTGTCTGGCGTTGGCAGACAGAACGGATGGGGCCAGGTACACTCGCGCACCCCCCGCCTCCCCTCCCCTCAAAACCTTCCCCCGTCTTCTTCTGACATTGCACATCCAGACGTCTGCGGCAGTTTATCAGGCGGGTCAAGGATCCCGGGCCGAGTGTAAATCAAGCAGCTGTTGGAGGACGGCTGCTGTTGGCAGATAAGAAAGTCATCACTCCCCGCTCGCGCTCGCTGCTAACAGAGGTGACACGCTGCGGGTCTCGCCGCGTGCTTGCTTGTAGGACGCGCGCTGATACAAATATTCACACACGACGACAACTGCCTCGATATTTAACACCCATCGGAGCTTCTTATGGACGCCCATGTAGCCAAGTAACAAGAACCTAACCCCCAATCCTATCAATCCCACCGACCGACTAATACTAGCAACCTCATCTTACCTAGCTAACGTACAGTGGCTAAGCTAACTACATACACACATAGCGATCAACCCAAACACCATTTTGAATGGGCTAGCGCGCTATTCCGCCTAACCTAAGCTATCCGGCTACCGAGCAATCCTATCTGAGCCATCTGTGTTTTCTACCTACCGACTGTACCACGTGTACTTACTTGAATGTATTTTGAGTGCAGGTCTGTTGTGTTATGTTTGTGCCATTTCTTATTTCCTGGGAATCCACCACCACTCCAACAGCCACAGTCGATGCTTTTTTTTTTTTTTTACACTTTTCAACTTAAAAGGTAGTACCTCAAACTCGGCATGTTTGTGGACGTCCTCGGCTCGCTGTCTGTTCAGGATGAACTCGGCCTCGTTGGCCACCCGGACGATGTGGTCCTTCATGGCGTGACACAGCAACCTTCAGAGAATAGACAGTCAGATACGAGACGCGTACGACGCTCGGAAACGCATCATTTGGCTTCTTTGACAGGGTCAAGACTTGCAAGAAGCATTCGCGAATGCCTCCGCGGCTTCAAAGGAGGAAAACGCACGCGAGCCATCGTGGCGCATTTTACACATCATTAGGCTGGCTTTGTTTTAATTAAAAGCTCTCGATACAGTCCGTAATTTTGCCTGCTGTCCCAGCAAGATGCCGGGCTTCAACACGCAGAAATAAAAGACGTCCGTCGGTGATTTGGACAGCTGTTCTGCTCTGAAACTAATGGAGCACGGATGGGCTCTCCTGAAAATTTCATTCGAAACAATGAAAATAGCGAAGCCATTTCTGAAATGCTCATTTTGCAAACGCAGCCCGGAACGTGAAAACACGACAAATTACAGTCAATTACTTAAATTGTTGCAAGAACCAAATTGCACTGACAATTCTTGTACAAAAATATCCGTCGCCCTCATTTGCTTCGTTGTAGGACGGAAACCACCAAACGTTTGGGGTCAGGCCACCTTATTTGATGTTTGGTGATGAGTTGCTTTCATTGCTCTTAATTTGTTTTGGATTTCAGTGCTGGGTAGCAAATATGATCAATTGAGTTGAGGAGTTCCATTTGGACAAAAGTAGTGCTTAGCAGCCATATTGTGGCATCTCCAGGCAATTATAATCCTTTGAGACTCTCAAACTTTTCCCGTGAGGGCCAAATAACTTTTCCCTTCTCTGACAGGGGGCGGGGTCAGTTTGGAATGACAAGCGTGGGCCGTACCTGGCCCTCGTGCCATAGTTTGGGAACCACTGCTTTAGAAGGACATCACTTCTTCAATCACTGGACATTATTATTTTTTTTTGTCTGATTCTTTGATTCTCAAATGAAACTGTGCCCCCACTTTTGAATCGTAATCTTCCAACTAACAATAACACCGCGGTCGGCGCAGTGCGCCGCCACCGCCAACTCTTTGTCCCGGCGCCAACGGGGCGGGAGACGCTGGGAGAAGCCTGGGCCAGGCTGGCCACACAGGATCCATGGTGGTGGTGGTGGGAGCGGGGGGCGACCAGTCCAGATGGGTCAGCAGATGGGCGAGGAGGCTGAGCCGCTCCTGATCTGCTCAACGGAACACCGCGCCATCCCTCCCAGCTCAAGTCTGGGCCACGCCCACAACAGCAGGCGGGAAGGAGGACAGCGCCATAACGAGGCAACAAGGTGGACATCACAAGCGGGTGCGTTCGAGCGAATAGCCTTCCTTATATACTTCCTAAGGACAGAATTTCTAGGCGCGGCCCAGGCATTGAGGGGTTGTGCTCTGGTCGCCTCAGTATTGCATCTCTGCTTTTGGCAGACGATGTGGCGCCGTTGGCTTCTTCGGGCCGGGATCTCCAACTCTCACTGGAGCGGTTCGCAGCCGACTGTGAAGCAGGTTGGGATGAAAATCAGCACCTCCAAATCTGAAATCCATCGGAAAAGGGTGAAGTGCCCTCTCCGTGTCGGGGAGGAGATCTTACCCCGGGTGGAGGAGTTGAAGTATCTTGGGGTCTTGTTCACGAGGGAGGGCAGGATGGAGCGGAAGAGGCACAGGCGGATCGGTGCAACGTTTGCTATGATGCCAACTTTGCATCCGTCTATCGCGGTGAAAAGGGAACTGAGCCAAGAGGGAAGCTCTCGATTTACCGCTCGATCTATGTTCCTGCCCCCACCTTTGGTCACGAGCTTTGGGTCATGACCGAAAGAACGAGATTCCGGGAACGAGATTCCGGATACGAGCGGCCGAAATGAGTTTTTCTCAGCAAGGTATCCAGGTTCTTCCTTGGAGATAAGGTGAGAAGCTCGGTCATTTGGGAGGGACTCAGAGTGGAGCCACTTCTCCTCCACGTCGAGAGAAGCCAGATAAGGTGGCTCGGGCATCTGATGAGGATGCCTCCAGAACGCCTATCCCGTGAGGTGTTAGGGGGCACGTCCCACGGTAGGAGGCCTCAGGCACGACCCGGGACACGTCTCCTGGCTGACCGGGGAATGCCTTGGCATCCCCCGGGAAGAGCTGGAAGAAGTGACTGGGGAGAGGGAAGGCTGGGCTTCCCTGCTGAAGCTGTTGTTGCCCCTGCAACCCCACCCCGGATAAGCGGTAGACAATGGATGGATCTGGAACAAACTCAACAAGCTGGAAAACTCACTCTTGATATTCCAAATAAAAGCGTCACAAAATTCACCCCCAGACACCAGTTTCAGCCGGCAACGTGATATTGAATGGAAACATTAACACAAGGAAACGATGCAGGAAGTCGGGCCTTTTGGATACAAGCGGCCATTTCCACCGCTCAAGCTACTTGGGAATTTGCCCCAATCTGAAGCAGATACTCGCAACAGATGGATGAGGGATTTTTTTTTTTTTTTTTTTGGTCTAAGACCTCTAAAGCGGATTCAATCAATATTTGGCGTCCAAATCTGAAGACCATTTCAACAACAGCGCTCGCAGCTTGAATGAATGACTTGATTGAGATGCTCCTGCCTTGGGCTCGCGCTCGGGTTGCCCTCCCCCACGGAATCGAGCGTCCAGATGAGGTGACATTGCTTGGCATCGATACGGAAAAATTCAATGAGGCTCGTTGCGCAGCGAGGATTGCGTACCTTCCTTCGTTGATGAGCTCAATAAAGGCCAAGCCGGCGTTCTTCTGGATGGAGTTCTGCCACTCCTGACAAGAAAACAACAGGCGGGCGCAAATGTTCAAAGTCAACTCCGTCGCAATGGCACATTTCTCAGAGCGTCGGCCCCCTTCCGTAAGAAAGGAAAGAGCGTCGAGTTCACTGACAAGACAATGGCGGCGGTGAGAAGCTGCAAACCACATGTGTGATCGCGCCGTCCCGCTTGGTGAAAAGATCTGTAAACACTGCGCAGACATAATTGCGGGATGAAACCGTATCCTCCCGCTTTTAATGCGGCCATTTCCTCCGGCCTGCGCAGTGACAGATTAGCGAGCGAGTTGAGCACCCCCACCCCCCCACACCACCCCCTGTCCCCCAACCCCTCCAGACCCCCACCTAGCCTGCCTGACTTGCTATTCGCCGTCTCTGGAAATGATTAGAAGACCGCTCCCCTCGCTGTGGGAAAGGCTGTGGCTCTCTCCCGTAAAATCACGGAGGGGAAAGAAAGCGGTTACGGGAACAAATTCAGATCGGATCACTGAGCTCATTGAAGATGTTTTCTTTCAAAGATTTGCGCGATTGCACGCAGCGTCGCCCACGCATGCGAGCGAGATTTTTTTTTCTCGTCTTACCTGACAGTAACATGGCGGTGCACATGCCAGTGACCCGCGCATGTGTTTAGTACAGGAGACGCTGCAAACAAACTGCTGAGCATCTGGTCTCCAAATGTTCCCTGTGCCCCCCACCCCCAACCCCAACCTCTACATAACCCGCACCCCTCCCCCCCCTTTTTTTCCTGTGATACAGTATCTGTAAGATGTTGTGGATTTGGACGGGGGTTGGGCCCCGCTCGGGCGCTCACGTGACAAAAATAAACACAGAAATGGAGCGCGTGGGACACCTACGGTAGCGGGCTCAGTCTGACAAGGTTTTAATGGACAGGTTTTACATTTCAAGATGTTTCTCGAACTTTTCATTTCGTTTGTCGACAAGAGGCAATAGCGGACAGAAAAGTGAGTGGCTCCCACTGACCTTAAGTATAACGATGGAATAGAAACTGGCGCGGGGCTATCGGTTCGATCCCCAAAACGTTTTTGTTTTTTGTTTTTTTTTCACTTGACTTCAAAATAAATTAGAATGAATCCAGTGGCTTCTGTGGGTGAGGAGGAAAAAAGTTGTATGAAGAGGTAAAGAGAAGATGACCGGATTAGCCGAGTGGCGTCGAAGCCTGACAGGGAACTAATCTGGCAGCCATTTTCTCACGGGTGTGCGTGACATTTTTCAAACATGTTGGTCATGACAGAAAAGTCCATTCACGAGCCAGTCCCTCCACGATCAAGTCAATTCAACTTTAAAAGCCACCATAGCTGCTGACAAAGTGCGGGACATAAAGTAAAAATCAGACATGCAAAAAGAAAGGCAGTTCAAATGATAAATGAAGAAACAAATAAAACAGCAAACACATTGAAATACTAAAACAATGCTCAGTCGAAAGACAAACAATAAAAATGTGTTTTAAGACACCTCCAAAAAAAAATGGACAACGAGGGGGGTCTTGCGCAACTATTTAGGGGAAGTCATTCCAAAACTGAGCGATGGGCAACAAAAAAAGTTCCGCTTTGTCGTCAATGCCTCCAGTGGCCCCGGGCGGGGACAAAGAGGTGGAAGAACTCAGAGAGGTAAGCTGCCTAAGATTCAAAAAATAAATCTAAATAAAAAAGAGAGAGAGAAAGATGGATTTACCAACAGCACCAATTTACCAGTCCAATTTAAAATCTGTGTTCAATTTCAAACCCAAATTTGAGACGGTGGGCTCTCGATAAGACTGCAAGTGGCCCACATCAACACGGTGAGCTGTGAACAAACACCCTAACGTCGCTTCTCTTTTTCTTCTGAACCTTTTTCTGCTAAAATGCAAATTATAGCCAGTGTTCTTCCGATCACTGAGGAAATGCCGATTGATGTGTTGCACAGGTGTCAAAGTCTGATCCTTGAGGGCCTGCGCTATCCCGCATGTTTTAGATGTTACCCTCCTCCAACACGCGTGATTCAAATGGCCAGGATGGTTATCAGGCTCCTGCAGGGCTTGCTAATGAGCAGAGAACAGCCCTCGAGGACCCGAGTTTGACACCTGTCATGTATTGGATCAGCCTATGTGGCGATTTTGGGGTTTTTTATTAGACCCCAGCACATACACATATATATATATATATATATATATATAATGTTTTAGATGTTACCCTCCTCCAACACGCGTGATTCAAATGGCCAGGATGGTTATCAGGCTCCTGCAGGGCTTGCTAATGAGCAGAGAACAGCCCTCGAGGACCCGAGTTTGACACCTGTCATGTATTGGATCAGCCTATGTGGCGATTTTGGGGTTTTTTATTAGACCCCAGCACATACACATATATATATATATATATATATATATATATGTGTGTGTGTGTGTAATTATTATTTTTT